GTGCCACAGCTGGATAGAAAAACAAACAATGAACACTATCAGTCATGGATTCTTCAGCTTGCCAAACAAATTTCAGCCACAAATCATAACAGAGCCTCCATCATGTTTTACTGATGGCTGGGTTTACCACTCCTTGGGACCTGTTACTACTGATTTTCACTCTAAATCTTATGTAATTTCGTGTCCCTCTGCCTTTCCTCCCTAATTCACTTCCTTAAGAATTGTTTCTTGATAGTCTCCCTTCCATTGAAACCATTTCTGGTCAGGATTCAGTGAACAGTAGATGGATCAACTGAAGCCCCAGATTAATCTCTCAGGTCCTGTTTTGGGTCTTTGCTGGATATTTTCCTATTTCTTAAGGGCATGACTTTGACATACTGTTTTTCTGTTATAGACAGATTTTACTCGTGATAGTTTTTCTTGTCCTCCACTTGTCCAGTTTCGTCAAATCTATTAAGGACAAACTGCACACCATGCAGAGATATAGCAAGTTTTCAGGTAATAGCTCTTTAGGAGTCCCCTTGTTGGTACAAAAATACTCTTATATATCTGTCAGACTGTGCTATCTTTGTCATTTTCTGTAGTTTCAATGACAAAATGCAAACAAACTATGCATTTTTCTAACAGGCTGCTACTAACAAAGTGCCTAAAGAGACACATTAAAATTGGTCCTTTGCTAAGTTGTCTGTTATAGGTAGACACAACACTGCTTCATCCTTTTACTGAGGTGTTTTTTGATCCTTGAATGATTCATTATCAGTGTTAAGTGGCTCAACAAACATAACAACCTTTGTGAAAACGGTCTGGTACAAGGACTAGACTGAAAAAGCATGAAAAAACAGAAAAACTTTGAAAGACCTTCTGAAAGCCTGGAGACCTACTGCTCAAGACTGCAAGTAAAATTACATTAAATTTCTCCTTCATGACTTAATTCTGTATGATGACCAGTTGCTCTCTTTCTGCATGGATGTAATGATATTGAGCACTTACCTGCAATTCCAAAGCCAACATGTCTAAAAACTATAAACTAAATGTACTATGCTTTGAAATTAGCAGTTGGCAAAGATGGAAAACCACATCACACTGTCAGCACAAAATCTAGTGAAAAAGCAACTTTTTGCTCAGCACTGTTGTTAGGACCATAATTCATCCTTTATGCCCCCGTTAAACCTGTGCCTACCAACCCTTTTCACTTGTGACCCCCTTAAAATTGAGCTACGTGTGTTATTTATTAAAGCCTGCAGAGTTCAAAGAATCGAAATTTCCAAAAGAAAGAAAAAAGATATATTCCCCTTTCTTTCTTTCAAAGCATCTTGGGGTCTCTCTAACATGTCTTCATATCCACAGGGGGTCCTGAGCCCCAGGTGGGGAACAACTGCATTTGAAAACACTCGCTCTGATGTTGAAACACTTGCCTTTCTTTTTTTCTCACGCTTTACTCTTTTTCCTGTTCCTCTGTGCCATCAAATAACTTGTAAAATAGAATAAAGAGAAAAGACTCACATATAAATAACTCTTCATTTATCGTGCCCAGAAACTGAACCACATGTGCAAATATATTTTCACCTCCATGCAGTAAATCCATGATAATTTTAGGAACTTATCATCCTGATAACAAGCATTTATCAGTTGTTTGGGTTGTATTTGGTGCTGTATATCAAAGTAACGAGGACAATAATGCAAAAGAAACCCCAAAGAACCCTGCATTCACACTCATGAACATCTGGGCTTTCCTGATGAGACAAACCGTCATTTTACGGTGAAATAAAAGCAGCTCAAAACTGGAAACATTACTAGCAAGTTTACTTTGTAAGCAGTACTGTGCTGACTCCTCCTTACAGCATTCGGTGACTCAGAGTTCTGACCAAGCTGTTGTTGTCTTTCATTTGCCCTTTCATTTGCCAGTTAGTTGTCGGCACCCACATTGTTCTAATTCTGCTCATTCCTTTGTCGTGGAGGAGGCAGCAGCACCAGTCGGCCATTGTGTGTGTGAGTGCGGATCAAGCTCAGAGCTCGAGGGTAACAGCAGGTGGGCTGGGTCGTCTGTATTTGAAGGCGGAGTGCATTACATTTCTTTCTCTTTGGTGCATTTCTCAGATCAGAAATGTTCAAACACAGTTTGTTGTTGTGAAAGCAGTTTCTTTATCTTCTGAATGCTTTTCCCAGTTGGTGTAAATTATTATTCATGTCTGCTGTATTAATTGGGTACGGCAACCAAGACGTATTATACATGCTGGCAGAACTGTGCAGTCGCCTCAGCTATTTTCTTCTTCTTTCTTCTTTCTTTAGCTGCCACAGCTGACCATCTTCCACCACTTCACCCTATCCCTAGCATCCTCCTCTTCTACACCAGCCTTCTGCATGTTCTCCACATTCATGAATCTTCTCCGTGGTCTTCCTTTTTTCCCATTTTTGCCTGGCAGCTCCATGTTCAAAATCCATTCCCCAATATAGCCACTGTCCCTCCTTCTTACGTGCCCAGACCAGACCAAGTTTATCTCTACATCGCTCAACCTGAGCTGTCCCTCTGATGTTCTCAAATCCATATTGTTTCCACATTACAAGAGATACCTTTTGGAAAGTCTTTTCCAGCATCTACAGTTGTCTGTGGTGATGTAGTTTTAGTTATTTTTGGGTGTGCCATTCTTTAAAAAAGCCTTTTTCTTTAACCTCCTAAGACCCGGCACGCATTTTTAATATCTCTTTGCTATTTGGGCTGATTGGGACCTGATGAATGTAAAAATAAAGAATTACCGGATTTAAAAAAAAAAAAAAAAATTAACAGATTTTTGTTTGTGAAAAAAATGAGATCCACATATGAGGATATTTGTTTAAAATTTCAATAGAACAGTGGCAGTATAATGTCCTCATAAGTGGTCATCAGGCTCTTGTAGAGCAAAATTTAGTATTTTGGTCTAGACAACCCAAAATGTTATGTCCACATATGTAGACGCCAGGTCCTAGGAGGTTAATGTATCGTATTGACATGATTTATCACTGAAAAACAAAACCTATAAAGTCTCCTGTAATCAATCTCCCACTTACAAAATTGTGTATCTTGGCCCTTTTGGAACTAAAATATACAGAAATAATGCATTATTTTCACAAAGTATGCTGTTGTTGTTGTTGGTGGTGGCAGCATGGCTAAGCATTTTGACTATGTTGGGGCGATCGTGGCTCAGGAGTTGGGAGTTCGCATTGTAATCGGAAGGTTGCCGGTTTGAGCCCCAGCTCGGACAGTCTCGGTTGTCGTGTCCTTGGGCAACACACTTCACCTGTTGCCTACTGGTGGTGGTCGTGGCTACAATGTAGCTTGCCATCACCAATGTGTGTGTGGATGACTGGATGTGTAAAGTGCTTTGGGGTCCTTAGGGACTAGTAAAGCGCTATACTGGTCCGTCGGGTTATTGTCTCCCCAGAAACACTTCCCTTTTTTTTTTTTCCTATTTCGGTTGTCGTTTTTCCTATTTCCATTGTGTTTTGTGTGCTTTTGCAGCGTTTTTCTTATTGCTGGTGTTTCCTTAAGTTGCAGTCCGTTTGGCCTCTCAGGGCCACCGTATGTTCTGCTCAGTGACCCAGTGTGGGCCAAGCTTTGTCGGTCCTATGGATGGTCTCGTATTTGAATCTAGAATAATTTGGTATATA